CCTTCCTTCCTTCCTTCCTTCCTTCCTTCCTTCCTTCTTTCCTTCCTTTTTGAGATGGAATCTCACTCTGTTGCCCAGGCTGGAGTGCAGTGTCGCTATCTTAGCTCACTGCAACCTCTGCCTTCCGGGGTCAAGAGATTATCCTGCCTCAGCCTCCTGAGTAGCTGGGACTACAGGCATGCACCACCAAGCCCGGCTAATTTTTGTATTTTCAGTAGAGATAGGGTTTCACTGTGTTGGCCAGGCTAGTCTCAAAATCCGTGATCCTCCTGCTTCAGCCTCCCAAAGTGCTGGGATTACAAGCGTGAGCCACCGCGCCTGGCCCGCTCTTTTTCTACAAGATACAACAATCATCAGGAGAAGCAAGAAAAAGATCACCCAACACATAAACTTCTAAAGTTGGCAGCACTGGAGAGCTCTGGGGTCTCTCTTTCTGAGGTCTGTGGAGTGTCCACAGACAACCGTTCTACATGAATCAGCTCATCTGCACAACTTTTAACCAACTCCTATAGAAGCATAATTTTAATTATTAATTTGTGAGAACTAAATAATTAAGTTCAATCTGGGAATACCTACATGTTCAGTCAGCAGTACAGTCACCTCTAACAAAATTAATAATTTCATAACATCATTTAATATTCAGGACATAGTCAAATTTCACCATCAGCTGATTTTTTCATGATAATACTCTTAATCAGATGGAATTACTCCCCACCCCCCTTTTTTTTGAGACAGAGTCTTGCTCTGTCGCCCAGGTTGGAGTGCAGTGGTTCAATCTCAGCTCACTGCTGCCTCTACCTTCTGGGCTCAAGCAATTCTCCTGCCTTAGCCTCCCAAGTAGCTGGGATTACAGGCATGTGCCACCACATCCGACAAATTTTTGTATTTTTAGTAGAGAAGGGATTTCACCATGTTGGCCAGGTTGGTCTTGAGCTCCTGATCTCAAGTGATCCACCCACCTTGGCCTCCCAAATTGCTGGGATTACAGGCATGAGCCACCATGCCCAGCCAGAAATCTTCCTTTTATTTTTGTTTGCATAAAGAATTTACTACAAACAACTGCCCTAACAAGATTAACAGTACCTGTTTAGATTTGTGTTTTTTTGCACACCGTGGTGATACAAAACATTCTGGGTTCACATCCATGTTTTCGAGACTGGAAGTCAGCTGAGACGCGGAGTTCCTGTTTTTCATCCTCAGAAATGAAAGGATGTTGAGGACCTCTGGCTGGTAGGAGCTGTCTGCCATGGTTTTGCCCTTCGATGCCAACGTGCAGGCAGCCATCCACTGGGCATATTGATTCTCCTGCAGCAAACACCAGAAGGCTGAGAAGCAAGCTCAAGTGCAAAGCCCCCTGCTGCTCAAGGAGGGAGAGTTGGGCTTTCTTCCCATTACAGTGCAAAACCATCACCTTCCCAGCAAGATGTGAAGTGGCACATATTCAGAGTGGCTGCTCGTCACCTAATGTAAACCTGACAGTAGCTTTTGAGTCCTGTGTTGAGTTTCTAGATGCTAAGGAGCTAGAGGATAGGAATGTCAACTTTGATAAATTGCATGCAGGGAATTTTGCATTTAAAGACCATCCAAGGGCCAGGTGCAGTGGTTCATGCCTGTAATCCCAGGACTTTGGGAGACTGAGACGGGTGGATTGCTTGAGGTCAGGAGTTCGAGACCAGCCTGGCCAACATGGCGAAACCCTGTCTCTACTAAAAATACAAAAATTAGCTGTGCATGGGGACAGATGCCTGTAATCCCAGCTACTTGTGAGGCTGAGGCAGGAGAATCCTTTGAACCTGGGAAGCGGAGGTTGCAGTGAGCTGAGATTGTGCCAATGCACCCGAGCCCAGGAGACAGAACAATACTTGGTCTCAAAAAAAAAAAAGGTGGGGCACAGTAGCTCACACCTGCAATTCCAGTACTTTGGGAGGCTGAGACAGGCGGATCACGAGGTCAGGAGATCAAGACCATCCTGGCTAATACAGTAACCTTGTCTCTACTAAAAAATATGAAAAATTAGCTGGGCATGGTGGCGGGCTCCCATAGTCCCAGCTACTTGGGAGGCTGAGGCAGGAGAATCGCTTGAACCCAAGAGGCAAAGGTTGCAGTGAGCCAAGATTCCACCAGTGCACTCCAGCCTGGGTAACGGGAGTGATACTTGGTCTCAAAAAAAAAAAAAAAAAAAAAAAAAAAAAAAAGATGATCCAAGGACACAATGAAGTGCCATGAGGCACAGATAGGTGAAACCCCAAACAATCAGAGCACTTTCCTTGATACATATTTCCATTTCTATATCACATCTGATCTCTATGAGAAAAGAAAATGATGAAAAAAAACTAGCCGATTTCCTATATTATTTGCACCCTGGACTATCCTTAGTAAAGACTCTAAGGTAGCAATCATGGCCATTATGGGACCTTAACAAGTCAGTGATGGCTTCTATTGTTGTTTAATGTCTGTGCTCATTTCTGACTTCAGAGAGTGAACAGGAGTGGTCCTCAGAAGCACAGGGGATGCAGTTAAAGAGGGGCAACAGTGGGTGAGGAACATTGAATTCACTGCCCCTGATATGGTTTGGCTCTGTGTCCCCACCCAAATCTCATGTTGAAATGTAATTCCCAGTGCTGGGGAGGGATCTGGTAGAAAGTGATTGGATTATGGGGGCGGATTTACCCCTTGCTGTTCTCCTGATACTGAGTGAGTTCTCATGAGATTTGATAATTTAAAAGTGTGTGGCACTTCCCCCTTCACACTCTCCCTCTCTTGTCACAATGTGAAGATGTGCTTGCTTCCCCTTCTCCTTCCACTAAGATTGTAAGTTTCCTGAGGCCTCCCCAACCATGCCTCCCGTACAGCCTGTGGAACTAGGAGTCAATTAAACCTCTTTTTTCTCCCAGTCTCAGGTAGTTCTTTATAGCAATGTGAGAATGGACTAATATACCCCCTTACCCCCATCCACACCCTTCTCCATATAACTTTACAGTTCCTCCCACCAGGGACAGTGAAATTCCCATCCGTTGACTGCAGGCTGAGTCATGTCATCTGCTTTGGCCAATGGAATGTGGGTGGAAGTAACAATGTGCCAACTTTAAGCCTAAGCTTTAGGAGCTGCACTATTGCCATGTGCCCTCTCACATTTCTTCCTTCACCAAGAGGAGACCTCCCCCAGGCATTCTGGGACCCAGAATAAATAAAATCAGCTTAATCAGAGGCACAGTCCAGCTAAACCTGTGTCTCCAGACCCAAATGACTAGCTGACACCATCCTGGATCATCCAGTCCCCAGACTACCTTTCAGCACATCTTTCAGAAAACAATGTTTATTGTTTTTATTTTTTTGGGTGGGACAGAGTCTTGCTCTGCCACTCAGGCTGGAGTGTACTGGCACTATCTCAGCTCACTGCAAACTCCACATCCCCGGTTCAAGTGATTCTCCTGCCTCAGCCTCCCAAGTAGCTGGGATTATAGGCACCTGCCATCACATCTAGCTAATTTTTGTATTTTCAGTAGAGACGGGGTTTCACCATGTTGACCAGGCTAGTGTCGAATTTCTGACCTCAGGTGATCCTCACACCTTGGCCTCCCAAAGTGCTGGGGTTACAGGTGTGAGCCACTGCATGGCGAATGTTTATGGTTGAATGTCATTATGATTTTGTTACATTGTGATTGTCTGTTACAAAGCAATAGCTGACTGACACAATAGTGCTCTAAATCTGTGAAAACATTTTTAGGTTTTGTTCTTACTCTTAGTAAAGGTGAAGCGACTTAACAGTTTTGGGGTTTTACTCACATGGTCACATCTCAAATACATTTCATTCATACCATCGGCCACAGGAATTAGTAACTTGATTCCAAATTTTCTCCCTGCTACATTTACATCTGGCACAACTTCACAGCCTGAAGCATAAAGATCAGGGACAAAACCGAGTTCTGAAGCATCTGTTAGATAAATATCAGGTGTGTATCTAAAATAAAGACTTTGAATATAAGCCCCTTAGATTTGGTTTTGAAAAATGGAGGTCTAAGCTGATAACATTAATTAATGGATAACTAGATAAGACTTAGGAACAATTAACACAGACAAAGAAAAATACTTTTATGGTTTTATTAAATCAAAAAGTCAATTTAATTCATCTTCAGGTTAATGTTGGCTCTCCAAACGCACAGAAAAAATTATAACTATGAACTTTAAAATAAATCAAAGCAGAAGGAAATCTCTGTCACAATAATGAGAGTTGCGTGTACTGGTTAATTAAATATTTCAATTAATCGATAGTTATCAGGACACTCACAGTGACCTTCAGAAATTAGAATAGGCATTAAAGTAACACTGAATTAAGTATAACTGTTCTGGAATACAGAAAACTTTTCAGGATCTTACAGCACCTAATATCCTACACTCTTGGACATGAATAAACTCTGGACACACTGAGAAAGACGGAAGAGCAGAATGCAAATAAACATGTTTACTAGACCACATTCAAGGCCCATGCTCTGAAGTGCACCTGCAGCCAGGGTGTCATTTGGAGAAAAAACAGTGACACAGGTATGGTGGTTCCTCTAGAAGTAAACTGCTTCGTTGTGTAGGAACCCTGCCTTTAATCTGCGACCTGGCTTTTTTATCACCCAGGCTGGAGAGCAGTGGGGTGATCTCAGTTCACTGCAACCTCTGCCTCTTGGGTTCAAGTGATTCTCCTGCCTCATTCTCCCAAGTAGCTGGGACTACAGGTGTGTGCCACCATACTTGGCTAATTTCTGTATTTTCAGTAGAGACGGGGCTCCACCATGTTGACCAGGCTGATCTTGAACTCTTGACCTCAGCTTATCTGCCTACCTTGGCCTCCCAGAGTGCCGGGATTACAGGTTTGAGCCACTGCGTCTGGCCTGTTTCCTGACTTATGATGAACCACAGCAAGATGTAAGTAGGGTACTCTTACCTCTAAGATTTAGTTTTTCTACTGGTTCTCCTTGTTCAAGTTCCTTATTTTTAAAATAGGCTATGGATGTGTCTTTAAAGACAAACCAATACTGTTTGAAAGCTTTTAGTAGTAACTTCTTGGGCCTGCAAATTAAAGGAGAGTAAACATTTAAATCACCATCCAGAAATGTAGCACATACTGCAGATTTCAAGCAGATCAGATGCTCTAGATGCCCTGTCAAACAAAACACACTTCGTTTTTTCAAAAACGATTTTCAAATTGCTAATTTCTAAACACTGGACATGAAGTGCTGATATGAGATGTAGATTTTAACACCAAGGTTCCACCTGGGGCCACAACTGGCTCTGCTACTGTCTGCATGCGTGCCCTGGGAAAGATCCTATACTCAGCTGGGTTGCATGCACTGCCTCTGTGTGCTGGGGACAGCCGTTATCTGGGAACTCAGGGCTTTTGTGAGGATAGAATGAGGTCATTTACATGAAGAGCTTATCACAGTGCCTGACACAACTGAAGTGCTAAATTGTGATGGTGTATGTGAGAAACCTATGCGAATCTGGTGACATCTGGAATCTCAGCATACTTCTTGCATTTGAAAAAGGTGTCGATATGGACAGCCCAAGCTTCAAGTTATCAGACATACAAGTCAGATATAAACATGAGCAGCATTTTCTGTAGTTTCTTCTTGGCTTTTAAGAGAAACTATAAGAGAATTCTCAGTGAGCCAGGGAAATCAGCGAATCTACAGCTGGTCAATATAGACTCTACTGTTACTAAAAACTATTCTGAGGGAAGATATCCAACAGTGGTACTGGTATCTGTTGGGGACAGAAAACCTTATACCATGGACTACACAAGGTTGGTGGTGCCAATGGTAAGCCTAAAGTTTGGGTCATTCAAAATAGGAAACCTGAGAATGAGCTAGTGGGTAGGACAGGGATCAGAGATAGGTAGAGAAATGAAATTATTAGTACTGGTTCTGTGGAAGCATCCCGGCCTTGGGGACGATCAGAATATCTCATGCAAGAGGGGTGGAATTCTGCATCAAGAATGGGAGAAGAAAGGAACCTTGGTGTTAACACCATTCATATGTAGTTCAGGCCAGTTTTTTTTAACATGTCAGTACTAGTCTTTCCTTAGCTAAAAATGTATTATCCTTTACAAAAAGATAAGAGAAAAGGTGGACATTAAAAAAAGGTATATGCTGGGTACGGTGCCATAATCTCAGCACTTTGGGAGGCTGAAGTGAGAGAACTGCCTGAGGCCAGGAGTTCAGGACCAGCCTGGGCAACATAACAAGATCCCACCTCTACAAAAAAAGAAAAACTAGCCAGGCATGGTGGTGTGTCTATAGTCCCAGCTACGTGAGAGGATTGCTTAAGTCTGGGCAGTTGAGGCTGCAGTGAGCTATGATCACACTAAGTGACAGAGTGAGGACTCGTTTCTAAAAGATAAATAAATGAAATTAAAAACCCAAGAATTCCACCCCCCCAGAATATTATAGAAGAATATTACATACAAGTTATACAAATAAATTTGAAAAACATTATATGAAGTTAACATTTCCAGGATTAAGAAAAAACACTGTATTAAAGTAGTATTTATTTGCTGGGTGCGGTGGCTCACGCCTGTAATCCCAGCACTTTGGGAGGCCATCATGGGCAGATCACTTGAACTCAGGAGTTCGAGACCAATCTGGCCAACATGATGAAACCCCAGCTCTACTAAAACTACAAAAATTAGCCAGCTGTGGTGGTGCACACCTGTAATCCCAGCTCCCCAGGAGGCTGAGGCAAGAGGATCACTTTAACCGGGAGGTGGAGGCTGCCGCAAGCTGAGATCAGGCGACTGCACTTCAGTCTGTATGACAGAGCAAGACTCCATCTTAAAAAAAAAAAAAGAGCTATCTTAACTATAGCCCTCGACAAGATAAATACAAGTTTTTTGTTTGTTGTTTGTTTGTTTTGAGATAGAGTCTTGCTCTGTCACTCAGGCCAGAATGCAGTGGCATGATCTTGGCTCACTGCAGCACCCGCCTCCCAGGTTCAAGCGATCCTTGTGCCTCAGCCTCCTGGGTAGCTGGGATTACAGGTGTGCCCCATCATGGCCAGCTAAGTTTTGTATTTTTAGTAGAGTTGGGGTTTCACCATGTTGGCCAGACTTGTCTCGAACTCCTGAGCTCAAGCGATCCGCCTACCTTGGCCTCCCAAAGTTCTGGTATTAAAGGTGTGAGCCTCCACACGCAGGCAGTTCTAAGGAACATATTTAGAAGGTTGTTTTTCTGATGCTCAGATTCTCCAAAATGAATAGTATTTTGAGAATAATAAAGATACAACCTTTATAGGAAGGCTACAGTCACCATTTGGTTTGTGAAGGGCTGGATTTGTCCTCTACAGAGAATGTGGTAACTCATTTTTTTGTAGAACAATTATGAATACTTTATTAAGATGTATTTGTGGATTCAAATTGTTACTTTTTTTGAAGCTCTGACTATAACAAAATGAGGGAAATGTGGTTACAACCATTTATGCCATGGAAGTTAAATGAATGACCCTGGCTGGGCGTGGTGGCTCACGCCTATAATCCCAGCACTTTGGGAGGCCAAAGTGTGTGGATCACCTGAGTTCAGGAGTTCAAAACCAGCTTGGCCAGCATGAAACTCCCTCTCTATAAAAATACTAAAATTAGCTGGGCATGATGGTGGGTGCCTATAATCCCAACTACTCAAGAGGCTAGGCGGGAGAATAGCTCATTCCTGGGAGGTGGAGGTTACGGTGAGCTGAGATCATGCCATTGCACTCCAGCCTGGGCGACAGAGTGAGACTCTGTCTCAAAAAAAAAAAAAAAAAAAAAAGAATGACCCTATTGTTTGTGACCACATCCTACAATCACAGTAAAAGAAACCCAAAACCAAACCTGTAGAAACCTAGTGACAAATATTGTTACCTTTGGATGCTTTTCATTTATATCTGCTTCATTGTTCATTCTTTCCAAGTCTTTCTTTGCATCCTGTGCTATCAAAAGCAGCTTATGTTTCCTTTAAAGCCACCGCCCCAGTGAAGTGCCAGTTGGTTAAGAAAAGTCAACAAACCATAAAGTGAAATAAGGAACTGATAGGAATTCAAAGAGCCTTGTTTCTTTCATCCTAACACACCCTGGCACCATCGCAGAGGCGGCAGTCCATTTTTTCCACGAAAAAAACTTCTCTGCCTTTGTAGCAGTTTCAGGTCGACCTGAGGTGATGGGGGAGTTTATCAGAAGCACTTAAACAGGTAGATAAACTAAGGTGACTACTCTCTGTAAGCCAAGGATCAAAGTTCTAGAGAGAAATGGCTTTTAAACTATAAAAGAGCCTTCAAATGGTATCAGAGTACTTAGCCTCCCAGATGGATCCTCTTAGAATCTTTAGTAAGGCAGATGTGTTTATTATCACTGATGATGGCCAGGTTCATGCTGCCATTCACTGAGCATGTACTATGAGTCAGGTACCATGCTTAATGCTTCATATGCATTATTTCATTGAATCCTCCTGACAAACCCAAGAGGAGGCATATTCTCATTTTATAGATTGGAAAATGGAGGCTCAGAGACATAATATATTGCCCAAAGTCACCAAGAGCTAGTATTCAACCCACTGTCTGTCTGATGGCAAAGCCCACACTTTCACCGTTGAACCATGAACCTGCCTCAGGGACATACAATTTAAACTCCTGCGCTCTTTATCTTCAAGGCTTTGTTACGAGTAACTCCTTTTCCCCATTAAAGGTTACTTACCTAAATAATTTGAGATTATCTGCAAGTGTAGGGATATCAGTAATGTCCTCCTAAGAAAAAACAGATAACGTTTCAAAAGCAGGAACTTTGTAAGTGATGCTGACATTCAGCCTGGACTGTCCAATTGGGCAGTCACTTGCTGCAAGTGGCTATTTAATGAATTAATTCAAATTAAATTAAATGAAAAACTCAGTTCTTCAGTTACACTCGCCATATTTCCAATAGTTAGCTGGGCGTGGGAATAGGAGGGTCAGAAAAAGAACGAGGACCTATTGAGGTCCTCGAGGTGGCTGGCAAAGTTCTATTTCTTGATTTCGGTGGTGACTTGAGTGACAATTTAATACTAACTTGTTAAGCTGTACACATAGGTATTTTTCACTTTTCTGTTTGTGTCATAGATGACAAAAATGAAAAACAAGAGATGAAAAAAATAAAAAAATGGATCAAGTACTCCCTGTAACTGTCCTTCAAGTTAAAAATCTGAATTAGAAATGAATACTTTTATATGCAAACAAAAGATTTTATAATTTTTACATTAGAGTGGGGAGCTTCTGCTACACCCAGGTCACTGATTAAACTCTCAAAGTGAACCTGGTTCGAAGTTCATTCTGCAATGTAGGTTGGTACCTACATTTTCCAACTGAAAAGCCTATTGTTAGAGTCACATAAAAATATTAAGGGAGGAAGAAAATAACTTTTTATTTGTTCTAAGAAGAATTACATGCCTGTTATATTTATTCAGCGGAGAAAGTAGACAACAGAGAACTCCAAGTTCATGGGGCTTACGTGTTTTATGAACATGAGACAAGGCCCTGCATCTCTATAGAATCTTGGCATTTAGCTTGCATTAAGTATTTGCTCCTGAAGGAGACCAATTTCTTATTTTAGGACATTTAACGATAAGAGAACACACTGAATGCAGAAGAATGGAGTAACTCATTCTAATCCACAATTACTGTTTACATCCAATATGGTGGACCCACCTCTCTGATTCAATGTGATTAATAATTATCCTCATGACCAATGTTAAACAAAAGGGTGGCACCTCAGGAGTGAATTAAATAGGAGGGACATTTCAGTTATAAAGCTGACATTCACCTTTCATGGGTAAGGAGCAAGATATGACAAAATCATTTCATTTCTTTATGTTTTATTGGAGGGTTTTTGTTTATCTCCTGAAGTCAAAAGCATTCAGAAACTTTTTACAATGTCCCAGAAAAAAGGCCACGACTTCTGTCAAGCTTGTCTAGTTGAAATGGATGACAAAGTAAATAGAAATAAGGTTTTTATCTGTAAAGAATTTTCTTGGCCGGTCACAGTGGCTCATGCCTGTAATCCCAACACTTTGGGAGGCTGAGGTGGGAGAGTCACTTGAGCCCTGGATTTAGAGACGAGCCTGGCAACATGACACAACATTGTCTCTACAAAAAATACAACAATTGGCCAGGCACAGTGGTGTGTGCCTATAGTCCCAGCTGCTCAGGAGGCTGAGATGGGAGGACTGCTTGAGCCCAGGAGGCTGAGGCTGCAGTGAGCCTTGATTACACCACTGCACTTCAGCTTGTCTCAGAAAAAAAGAAACAATTTTCTCTATTCTAGTCTCGCAGCTGCCCCATGCAATAGACAGGATGGTATTTTCTAGACTTAAGTTGAGGGACCAATTCCACATTCCATGCTAGTGAAGTGGAGCCCTCAGCAGTGGCTCCCTACTGTGCCAACTTATCCCTAGGAAGAACACAAAAGTATTGTCATTAGTAGAAATGAAAATATAGTCCCTTACAGAGCTAAGCTGAGAAAAGTTAGTTAGTTCTTGCTAGGTTGAAGCTTGTTAGGTGAAGAGCATCTTTTTTTTTTTTTTTCAAAATCAGATGACATATTCTCTTACTTCTAATAAATAAAGGTTCATTTATACTTGTCAATCAGTTAGAAGAAAGCCACAATTCTGGGTGATCAGAAAAAGTGCATACCAAAGGGCTGTCTGCTCTTCCACCTTCTAGGGTTACTTCCAAATTAGAAAGCGCTGCTTCTATTTCATCAACCTCGGACTCGCTTGTAAAATCCTGTATTTCAGCAGACAATGACAGTTTGCTAATGTGGTACTAAAATGAAAGCAGAGGTTTTAGAAATGTCACAAACAGAAATGTTACAAAACATTATAAAATGAAGCCATTAGCCATTTTTTTCTTTGAGGACTATTCCCTTGGAATACTGAACATCTCCTGAAAGGAGGTCTCCTTCCCATGCAGGGAAAATGATATTTTAACCTGATAATTCTGAGGTTCATGGTTAGTCATGTTCACAAGCAGTTCTTTCTCATCACTGATTGTGCTTACTGTAGGGAAGAGATAATAATTGCAAGACTAGTGTCTTATATAGGATGTGAGCGTGTGTGGAGGATTATGAGGAGCATTTTAAATTAAAAATTTGTTCTTGTCTGAAGGAGAAAGCAAGAAAAAAAGTACAATAAAAAGTACAAAAAAATTGCTCCCCTTATTTTCGCTATTTCTTCAAAGAATAATACATTAAAAAAACTAGTATGAAGCATATGAAACTTTAAGCAGAACAAACTTGGTTTGTCACCTTCCAGGGAAAAGGTACTGAAGTTCCCATACCTGTAGAGCTGCAAAGATCAACATTTCTTCCTCTGTGCAATCAATTTCTTCTAAGAGAATGGCCCACCTGGCTTGTTCATAGAGTTGGTTTATTCGGACAGCATCATACTGAGACAAAAACAGAGGTATGTGTGTAGTGAGATATATTTATATCCTACAATACAAAAATTCTTAAAAAACTGAGGCCATTCTCTGTTAATCGGATGCAACAAACTTCAGTTCAGGTAACTGAAAGGAGTATTTCTATTGTGCCACTTCCTCAGCCCTCTTTCTTAAAGGGTCTTTTTTTTTTTTTTTTTTTACAGGGTCTCCTCACTCTGTCACCTAGGCCGGAGTGCAGTGATGCAATCTCGGGTCACTGCAACCTCCGCCTCCTGGCAATTTTTGTGCCCTAGCTTCCCAAGTAGCTGGGACTACAGGTGTGCATCACCACACCTGGCTAATGTTTATATTTTTTGTACAGACAGGTTTTCACCATGTTGCCTAGGCTGGTCTTGAACTCCTGTGCTCAAACGATCCACTCACCTCAACCTCCCAAAGTGCTGGGTTTACAGGCGTGAGCCACTTACTGTGCCTGGCCTCTCCAGCCCATTTTACTTCTAAATTCAGAACTAACTTTCTTCAAATATTTTCCATAGCTGCTGCTGCTTCCTCACAACCCAACTTTGATTCCATTATCCTCTTTTTTTTTTATTACTACATATTGGTAGTAAATAGATAGTAAAAATGGTTTACATAATAGGAGAAACACCTAATGTAGATGATGGGGTGATATATGCAGCAAACCACCATGGCTCATGCATATCTATGTAACCTGCACATTCTACACATGTACCCCAGAACTTAAAGTATAATTTAAAAAAACCAGTGTAATAGAATGGATCCCCAAGCTGATCTGCAAGTTCAGTATAATCCCAAGCAGAATATGACAGGAATTTTTAAATGAAACTTTATACAAGCCAATTCTCAAGTTAAGTTGGAAGACACAATGTTCAAATATTGCCAAGAAACTGAAAATGAACAATGTTGAGTAAAGCACTTGTTCTCCCAGACATTAAAACCTATTATAAAGCTGCAATAATTAAAATGGTATGGTACGTTGATAAAGTGTCAATAAAGACTTATTTAGAAACAGACTTATATATGTATATAAATTTAATATAAAACATTAAATTTTATATAAAATATAAAATATTTATTTTATATTAAAATATAAAACTAACATTTTATATCAGCAGGGGAAGAAATAATTCAATACTATAAACAGTGTTAAAAATGCCTAGCCTCTTAGGGAACAAAAGTCAAAACAAAAAAATAACTTTACGCTATCCAAAAATATAAATTACAGATGGATTAAATAATTTAAACATATAAAACCACAATCAGAAACTACTTCACACCTACTAGAAGGGCTCTTATCTAAAAGACAGGTAATAACCAGTGTTGGTGAGGATGTGGAGAAATTGGAACCCTTGTGCACAGCTAGGTGTAAAATGATGCAGCCTCTGTAGAAAAGTTTGTCAGTTCTTTAAAAAGTTAAACATAGAATAGGATCCAGCAGCCAGGCGCAGTGGCTCACGTCTGTAATCCCAACACTTTGGGAGGCTGAGGTGGAGTCACCTGAGGTCAGGAGTTTGAGACCAGACTGACCAATATGGTGAAACCCCATCTTTAAAAAAAAAAAAGAAAAGGAATAGGATCCAGCAATCCTACTCTGAGATGTATACCCAAACAAACAGAAAGCAGCATCCAAACACTACTTGTACAACAATGTTTACGGCAACAATATTCATAATAGCCAAAAGGTAGAAAGAGCACAGATGTCCATCAACAGCTGAATGGATAAATAAAATGTGCTGTATACATACAATAGAACATTATTCAGCCTTAAAAAAGAATGGAATTCTGGCTGGGCGTGGTGGCTCACACTTGTAATCCCAGCACTTTGGGAAGCAGAAGTGGGCAGATGACTTGAGGTCACAAGTTTGAGACAAGCTTGGCCAACAAGGTGAAACCCTATCTCTACTAAAAATACAAAAATTAGCCGAGCATGGTGGCAGGCACATGTAATCTCAGCTACTCGGGAGTCTGAGGTGGGAGAATCACTTGAACCTGGGAGGCAGAGGTTGCAGTGAGCTGAGATTGCACCACTGCACTTCAGCCTGGGCAACAAGAGTGAGACTCTGTCTCAAAAACAAACAAACAAACAAACAAAAAAAGGAAATGAAATTCTGGTACATGATACAATGTGAATGAAGCTTGAAGATACTATACTAAGTGAAATAAGCCAAATACAAAAGCACAAATACTGTATGATTTCACTTATATGAACTATGTAGAATAGGCAAATTCACAGAGACAGAAAGTAGAATAGAGGTTACCAGGGACAAGGGAGAGGAGATCATGGAGATTTATTGTTTAATGGGCACAGAGTTTCTTTTTGGGATGCTTTGCAAATGGACAGTGGCCCAGCCTGGGCAACATATCAAGATAGCAAGACTCTTGTCTCTATTCTTTTAAAAAGTGGAGCATGCCAATAGTCCCAGCTACTTGGGAGGCTGAGGCAGGAGGATTGCTTAAGGCCAGGAATTCAAGACCAGCTCAGACAACATGAAGAGTCCCTGTTTCTACAAAAACAAAACAAAAAATTATCCAGGCATGGTGGCATGTTCACATTTGCGTCCTGATAAACTACAGTTTAGCCTTTCCTTTGATTATGTTTCAGTGGTTAAAAAAAGTGAGTCAGACTTATTTATACTGACATAAAAGATAGCCATGAAATATTATGAAGTAAAAAGAAGCAAGCTACAGAGCAAACAAAAGATCCTATTTATCTAGAGAACACAAAGTCTTGAAAATCTATTAAAAAATACGTTTGTAATATGTGAAAAATTTCTGCAAAGATGGTTGGTTACGAAGCTGTTAACCGTGGCTGCCTCTTAGGAGAATGGTCTGTTTTCCATTTTTACTCTAAATAATTTCTTTCTTATTATGTTTGATTTTTATTTTTAAAAATTTTATTTATTTATTTTAAGATGGAGTCTTACTCTGTTGCCCAGGCTGGCGTGCAATGGTGGTGTGATCTTGGCTCACTGCAACTTCTGCTGCCCAGGCTCAAGCAATTCTGCCTCAGCCTCCCAAGTAGCTGGGACTACAGGCGCCTGCCACCATACCTGGCTAATTTTTTGTATTTTCAATAGAGACGAGGTTTTGACATGTTGGCCAAGCTGGTTTCAAACTCCTGACCTCAAGTGATCTGCCCGCTTTGACCTCCCAAAATGCTGTGATTACAGGCGTAAGCCACGATGCCTGGCTGGAAGTGTTTTTAAAACTGTATTGGCGTGATGGTTACACATCTGTATAAATTGACCAAAAATCATTGTAGACCAAAACTTCGCCTAATGAGTGAATTTTATGTTATGTAAATTATAGTGCAATCAAAACATAACAACTAAAAAACCACATTCCAAAAAAACCATGCAGCCAATCTCTCCCCAAAAGACCCCTGCTGTAATTCAGTTTACAGATGGAATCTAAATAGTATGTGCAGCCACTGAAATTTGAATGGAATTAACACACCCTCATATCCAGTTTTATGTCAGTCAGTCACTCAGTCCCAGTGTTTACAATGCTAATACTGCAGGAGTCTCAGTGGGAAGTTAAGTTACTCTATAAGGCTTCTCTCAATGCAGTGAATAAAAACTTCAACAATTTAATAAAATCTTCCATACCTGAACATCCTAACACCCTGCTACATGCCAAATAAAACAATTCTTTGAAAGAACACGAATTAAATAAAAGTTACCTACATCTACAGAAAAACAGGGCCTGGGATAAGATGTCTTAACTAGCTATGAGATGAGCTCTTTCTCTTGCCAAATAACACAGGACTTTTGTGATGCATCCAGCAAAGCTCTGGAGTTTCCTCTCTGGAGGTCTGTTCCCATTTCTCCAGAGACAAGGCTGCATCACAAGGTTCCAGATCTTTCACAGGTCATTAACGGGTATCCTTATAGGACTCCCTCCACCCCACCTCCTGGCCCTTAGAACTCTTTCAATGGATTCTCCAGTGACTTAGAAACAAACTGTTTCCTTGGTGGGGTTGGCTACACATACCCTCTCCTTGGTCCTTTTCTTTGCATAATTGAAAATAGAGTGGGGTACAGTGGCTCAGGTCTGTTATCCAAGCATTTTGAAAGGCTGAGGCTGGAGGATCACTTGAGGTCAGGAGTTCGAGACCAGCCTGGCCAACATGGTGAAACCCCATCTCTACTAAAAATACAAAAATGAGCCAGGTGTGGTGGCGGGCGCCTGTAGTCCCAGATACTTTGGGAGACTGAGGCAGGAGAATTGCTTGAACCCAGGAGGCAGAGGTTGCAGTGAGCCCAAGAATGTGCCACTGCACCCCAGCCTGGGCAACAGAGTGAAACTGTGTCTCAAACAGAAAAAAAAAAAAAAAAAAAAGAAAAAAGAAGAAAAGAAAACAGAATCCCCAAGCTGGAAGCACATGGATTCTGCTGCCTCTCCACTCCTTGAATCCCTGTTTCTCCCTGTCTAGTTGGTTCAGTAAACCCTCCACCCTCCTCCATCATTCCACCGACCAACAATAAAAGCAAATAACAAAACGTCTCTATCATAGTTTTCCTGCTATTTCTTAAGAAGGGGCTACTATCTAATTACTTGAGATTCCCTATTAGCCCGGGAGCAGCTTTCAGTATCCTCAGGGCTCTTATTAAAACAGATGTGCTTTTCCTGTACTAAACACAAAATACTATAAACTATCAGAGTTATAAAATATGTGTTTTTTTAATTCACACATTCCGAACACATTTAAAAAGGGGCAAAAGAGTATATGATAAATGAATCCATTTATGAATGGACTCAAAAGGGACAAAAGAGTATTCAATTGAAAAGTCAGTCCCCCTCTCTACCTTGTCCCCCAGCAATGGTAGCCTCTCTGTGAGGTGTTTTGCATCTTTTAATAATATACCTGGAATCTGTTTCTATATCAAAAAAGAATAGATTCATTCTTTTTAAAAACAACATGGTGTGAATGTATCATAATGTATTTAACCAGTTCTCTAGCGATGGGCATTTAGGTGGTTTCCAGTCTTTTCCTAAAACAAATCATATAATAACCGTCTTTGTATACACACATGTCAGTTTGCATGTGTGAGTGTAACCGTGCTATAACTACCTAGGTAGGAGTGGATTGGCTGAATCAAAGCTATGCAGAATGACTGCCAAATTGCCTTCCATAAACTAATTGTACTTTGACCTACAAGCAGTATATGAGAGAGCCCATTTCCTGACACTCTTGCCAAGATAGTATGTGAAACTTTTTGATCTTTGCCACTATAAAGCATTGTAGTTCCTTTTCTATGAACAATATGTTTACATCCTTTGCCTACTAGGCTACTGGGTTGTTGGTCTTCTTATTATTGATTTTTAGGAGCTCTTTCCATATTAGAGAAATTAGTCTTTTGTTTGTAGTATGTGTTGTAAAGACTTTTACTTTGCTTATAGTGTTTTTCTGCCAGGTGTAAAATTTTCATTTTTTGAGTTTATTATTATTTTATTTATTTATTTTTTGAGACAGAGTTTTGCTCTTGTTGCCCAGGCTGTAGTGCGATGGTGCAATCTTGGCTCACTGCAACCTCTGCCTCCTGGGTTCAAGTGATTTCTCTGCCTTAGCCTCCCAAGTAGCTGGGATTACAGGTGCATACCACCACACCTGGTTAACTTTTGTATTTTTAGTAGAGATGGGCTTTCACTATCTTGGCCAAGCTGGTCTTGAACTTCTAACCTCAGTGATCTGCGCGATTCGGCCTCCCAAAGTGTTGCAATTACAGGCATGAGCCACTGTGCCCGGAGGAGTCTATTATTTTTGAAATGCTAAATTCTAGCATTTTATATATCTGAGATTTTAATCAGTACCTGTTACTAAGGACCTGTGGCCAGTATGCATCTCTCCTCTGAAAGCCAGAGCAGCTCCTTAGTCCTCACTGGAGATTTTAGTTCCTACTTGTAGGGTGCCTTGTAAATTTGCAGTGGCTTCATTGGTGCTCTCTCCTCTTCTTAGAGTTAATTATAGCTGCCATGAGAACACAAACTACATCTTTTTAATTTTTATTTTAGATGGAGTCTGTCTCTGTCGCCCAGGCTGGAGTGCAGTGGTGTGATCTGGACTCACCACAACCTCCGCCTCCCAGGTTCAAGCGATTCTCCTGCCTTAGCCTCCCGAGTAGCTGGGATTACAGGCATGCGCCACCATGCCCAGACATGGTTTCTCCATGTTGGTCAGTCTGGTTTCAAACTCTCAACCTCAGGTGATCCACCCGCCTTGGCCTCTCAAAGTGCTGAGATTACAAGCATGAGCCACTGTGCCTGGCCTACATCACAAATTTCTATATCCCCCTATATTTTTGCAGTGCAGAGTAGGAGTCCTAAACTTAATTTTATTTCTAATTTTAAGAGGGGAGGGAAGGGAGCACTGCCATAGGTAGTAAAGTGGCTGAGGATCACTGTGTGCCCCAAAGCCATGTCCCGCTATCCCGAGTCTTCCTGTCACCTTTGGGTTGACAGGTTCTGTGTGTGGCTGTCAGATTCAAATAGGTTTCACTTCTTAGGCTACGAAGAGGGAGCCCCTCACCAATTAAGCAAGCGGAGGCTGGAGGCCAAAGAGCCTGAGACAATAGCCCTTGTGACCCTCAGCTTCAGTGTCCTTGTCCCCTTCTGGAGTATGATTCATTTCCTTTCTTCTACTTTTTAGACAAATACATATTTAACCCTACTCCTCTATATTGATACCAATGATCTGCCATTATCTGGCTTATTTGACTGTGAAGTCACTTACATGTTCTTGACATTTTTTCAGGGGGTAGATGACTGAACTGCATTCTTTTTGGCTCAAGCTCAACTCTGAAGCAGGAGATTGAATGGGGGAGTCTCTTGGCAAAGAAACTGCTGGAAGGTTCCCCAAGGGCTGAGTGATCCTATCATCGATCAGGTGCCTAAAGTGGGAAAGCCTGACTCACAGCATGTGGGGTGGGGGGGCAAAGGAAGTACCAGATGTGGTCTCTGTCTCCAAGGACTTGGTTCTCTATTTGTAGAAAAAAAATCCAGACGTGGAGTGATTAGAGGCGTGAGTCCTGAAACTGTGCAGTCCTCAGCTGTGGCTCAGAGAAGGCAAAGTCCCATGTGACCAAAAGTAGAAAAAAGCTCCTTTCTGGAAAGAGTGGAACCTGAATGTGGTTTCAGTGCGGGGGTTCTGATCTGGGGTTCTTGGACTTGGGAGTTTGATTACCAGGTGGTCCACAAACTTCCATGAGGAAACACAACCTCTCCATTTGCATCGACTTCTAATGGAAATTTAGCATTTCCTCTCATGATGAGCACGAGCCATGAACCACAACACTGCAGAGTACTTGTCACTCTGTGACCACCAGAACCAAGACTTCTTCCCTTCTGTATGTCAGTTGTTGCTGCTGTCTTCAAGTAATGCTCACCTACCTCACTACTTTGAAATTATGGTAGTTACAACAACTGGCATCAGATCTTATTTGCTCAATTAACTACAAATATATTACTATATACATTTCGAAAAAGGGTTTGGTCACTACAGTTCATTATAACTGTTTTATTTTGTAATCCTATGTATCTTATTAATTGGAAAACATTATTTTAATATACAACAGTTTTGAGTTCTCAGTACCCAACTTAGTTCTTGGCCTACAGTAGTTGCTCAATAAATAAACATATAAACAAACAACAGATGGGGCACAGATTTGAAGACATAAGATGGGACCAAATTATTGACTTAGCAATTAGAAAATGCATGGGCATATTTTATTTATATGTTATCTATTTTCAGAAAAAAATGTAAGGCAGCTTATTAGAACAGACGTCATACAACAAGATAGCTTAAATTAAGAGTTAAGCAGGGAAAGACTAAAGTTGAGCCATGAACGAGGCTTAAAAATAAAATTAAAAAGTATGGCTTTGGTTTTAGCAGACAATGCAAAAACAAAAACGAAAACAAAAAAACGTGGACAGTTGCATAATTCACAGTACAGTTAAAAAAAAAAAAAACAAAGCCAAGCCAACTGTATAGGAGAAGAAGTACAGTAATTTCTCCTGAAGATTTTATTGAAGAAAAGCCAAAATCTGCCCTTTTGTCATGATTCACTTACGCATTCCAGATACAAGCTTGGTCCTTGGGATAAAAATCAAGGACTGAGCAGGAACCTCTCCTTAGAAATGACAAGGAACAAGGTTTGTTCTGAAGATGCCAGTTGGGGAAACAGTGGAAGCTGAGGTGAGCCTTTGCAGACCAGACCTGCAGTCAGAACCAAGGAGAAGAGGTAGAAGCACTGCCGTAGAGGAAAGGGTCTGTACAGAAAGGCTGACCAAAGCAAGGTCCCCAGGTGTCTGGCAGTAAATGGAAAAGAGCAACAACACAGAAAAAACAGCGATGGGAACACAGAACACAGTGACCCTGTGCGCTCAGAGGGGCAGTCATCCAGTTTACATCATTGACATCGGGCCATCGTACCGCTGACTCTCAGCTCTACAAGCCAGCGTATCAGGAACAAGGAAGAGGCAGAAGTTCAAAGGACTTACCTCACTCATTCGTTATTCTAATAGACTTTAGGTGGGAGATGTGCAGTGAAAATGGAGTTGATGACCATCTGGGTGACCCGCTGAGAAAAAGGGATTACATAGATGATCTGTTTCCCTCAATTCCAAAGAGTAGGCATTGAAGTGCGGAGTCCTGTGTGTACCATCATGTGGTCCTAGCTTGTTCACGGGAAGCTGCCTTTAACCCTGACCTCTGACAACTCCTTTCCTTCCTCAGCATTAAGAACTCCAGCTCTGTGAGCCGCTCTTGCCTTGTTTGACCATTCCTGCGAATGGAGAGGGGTGGTGCGTGGCCATGCTAGGCACTAAGATCCCTAGAGACTCCAGCTAACTCGGTAGCAGCTTACCGTGCTCAGTAGAAACCAAAGGATAAAAATTCACAGACCAGGGTCCATGTATCACTCTCACCCAACAGGGCTAAACAGGCGATCACACAAATAAATTCATCCTCATTTTCATAACCAAATGCCTCAACTTGATACTTCCATGCATTCATATTAAAAAGACAAAGGGAACAGAGAAAAAGTTTCTTACTTTAGGATTCAAGTCGAAGAAAGAGTAGTATTTAAATCGTAACAGCAGCTGCTCATCCTCGTGGATGCCTTGTTCCATAAGGGAGCGTGAGGAGTCCAGCCAACTAGAAAACGATAGTGTGAGTTTTAGAAGCCAATCAATTTTACTTCTATCCATTATATTATTATGTTATATATTATATATTACATATATATCCTTAAACAAAATCAGGGTCATACAGATTGAGTAGCCCTAATTTGAAAACCTGAAATGCTCCAAAATCTGACACTTTCTGAGCACTGACCTGATGCTCAAAAGAAATGCTCACTGAAGCGGTTTTTTCTTTTTCTTTTCTTTTTTTTTTTTTTGAGCCGTAGTCTTGCTCTGTCACCCAGGCCGGAGTGCAGTAGTGTGATGTTGGTTCACTGCAGCCTCCGCCTTCCGGGTTTAAGTGATTCTCCTGCCTCAGCTTCTTGAGTAGCTGGGACTACAGATGTGTGCCACCATGCCCAGCTAAGTTTTGCATTTTTAGTACAGAGGGGGTTTCTCCATGATGGCTAGTCAAGGCTAGTCTTGAACTCCTGACTTCAGGTGATCTGCCTGCCTTGGCCTCCCAAAGTGCTGGGATTATAGGCTGGGTCATTGCGTCCAGCCTCGCTGAAGCATTTTGAATTTCAGAATTTTGGATTGCGGATGCTCAGTGGTGAGTATAATGCAAATATCTCCAAATTCTGAAAAAATGTAAAAAAAAAATTCCCAAATCCAAAACACTTCTGGTCTCAAGCATTTTGGATAAGGGGTACTTAACCTGTATAACCAAAAACCAGTAAGCCTATAATAATAGCTTATATTTGCATTTTATCTTATAGTTTTGAAAGTGCTTTATAGATTTTTTTTCTCATGGATACTCTAAAGTAATCCAATAAAAAGGCCAGGGCAGTTCTCATTATCTCATCTTTGTAGACGAAGAGACACAGTCTGAATGACATTAGATCATTCTTAAAGGTCACAGGCCTTGGCTGGGTGTGGTGGCTCACGCCTGTAATCCCAGTGCTTTGGGAGGCCAAGGCGGGCAAATCACCTGAGGTCAGGAGTTCAAGACCAGCCTGGGCAACGTGCTGAAACCCTATCTCTACTAAAAATGCAAAAATCAGCCAGGCATGTGGCAACTGCCTGTAATCTCAGCTACTCGGGAGGCTGAGGTAGGCAGGAGAATCACTGGAACTCAGGAGGTGGAGGTTGCAGTGAGCCAAGATTGTGCCACTGCACTCCAGCCTGGACGACAGTGTCTCAAAAAAAAAAAAAAAAAAAAAAATGCTCAGGCCTGGTTATGGGGCCAGCTTGAGAATCCATATGTCCTGAGTGCCCACACCACTTCTCCTTTTACCAGATGGTTTGCCCCAATGCCAGCTCTGTGTTACTGTCTAGAACTTTCTGCAATGAGAGAAATATTTGTATCTGTGCTGTTCGATGCATTAGCCCCAGCTGAATGTGGCTGTTAGTGCCTCATTTTAATTTTAATTAATTAAAAATCCAATCCACATTTAAATATCCGCATGTGGCTAGGGGTTCCTGTACTACAATACAAGATGGAGTTCTAGAGTTGAGAAATAAAAATTGGGAAATGGCGAGGGGTGGAGGAATGGAGATTAAAAGTTAACAAAATAAGAGGGGAATGAGTGTCATTCAATACCACTGAATAACAATGACTTGAACTTCTGTTATGTTAGGCCCTGGTGGGCAAAGAGGATGACCAACATGAAATCACCATCCTAAAGGAGTTGACAGTCTGCTGGGGGAGACCAAGCCTCATAACAAAGGGACATTGTGACATTAGAGTGAGCAACGTGTCAGGACAGAGCTACAAGGAGGAGGGTGATCTTGAAGGTCATCCTTGAGCAGGAGACAGCATGTGGCTGGGCCTTAAAGGACAGGCAGGGACTGACCACTTGGTAAAGGGGTGTTATGTGTAAAATTTTTCTTTTTGGTGCCGCGGAGAAAAATTAGTATTGGCACCAAGGATTTTTTAGCAAAGCATTTTTTTTTTTTTTACTTCCCGCAGAAAGGGTACTCCTGTTAGCAATTTTGTCACAAGGGTACAACGAACAAAGGAAAGCAGACATATTTATTTTTTACGCATTTGGGGTTGCTTTTACTGCTGTGTTTGATTTCCATTGGCTGGAGCCAGACCTCACAATTTAAAACTTGATTGGCTAATAACTTGAAACTTTTTTAAACAGGTAAAAGCAATGGAAAGCAAAAAAAGGAAATCCAAATAAGGAAGGGGCAGAGGCTGCAGGCTGGGACATGCCTATGAGCACATCCAGCACAGACATTTCAGACATACAAGGACATAGAATGTACTACGTGCCTGTAAGCATGTCTAACGCTACATAGGACAGGGCTTTTAGCAAAAAGCAAGAAGGATTTTGAAGAAAGCATTTAAAACAAACTCTTATTCTTAACACTTGTACATTTTTTTTTTAAACACGAAAGGAAACTTTGAAGAGGAATTTTTCTACTTCCCACAAAGGGACTGGTCCTGCAGGTGACATAGTGACAGAAAGAGTGAGTGTGCACCTGGTGGCATGGGGTGGTAAGAGCACAGGAGGATGTGGAGACACTTGCTGGGGCCAGCTCTTCTAGGGAGTTGAATGCTGTTGACAAGTTTGACTTTACCTGGTAGGTAATAGGGAACAACGGAAATGGTAGCGTCAGAAATAGTCTGGGTATATTTTCTGAGACCATTTCAAACAGAGCTCAAGGACTTGCTCATTAGAATGCCTAAAATGAAGAGTAGGATTCTACAAAAGACAGTGTAAGCCTGGTGGGCCACCTGGGATCTCCCCCACTGACCCCTGGGGACAACACACTTATTAGCTCCCCTACATCCCATAAAATATGCTTTCCATATCTGCAGTGGCAAAGAATTGGTATTCAGAGATAGTAAATCTATTGTGTTACCCAAACCTGGGTTTAGACACACGTTAAATATACTGAAATGACCAAAGACTGAATTTTTCCCCTTTGATACTAAAATCAGCACTGACTTTTGCAAATAAAGTACAATCCCTAGGCCTACCAACTTGAAAATGAAACATGCCCCTACTCTTACTATGTCGGCACTAGCTCAGGGAGAAGTCAAAGGAGCCGTGTCCTTACCCTGCATTGAGCTTGGCTTTATCAATCAGAGACCGAGGCTGGTACATATCCGCAAGTGCTTCTGGGGACTGGGGGGGTTGGCTGAATGCAAGGATGCTGCAGTTTTGCTCCGTCAAAGGGCTGTCACTGAACCAAGTCATGGTGGATGATGCTGGTGTTCCACTGATGGGGTCATATATGGGGGTCATGGTTTTACTGTATAAACCAGGACTTGCTGCAAGGCAAGGGGAGCATGAACTATGATATGAGAATTCAGGGATAGAAATCTTCAGGAAAATATTAACATTACTTACACTAAAATGAGTTTTAACTTTAAATGTTGGCACCATTTAAAATAATACAAGTCAAGCTGGGCACTGTGGCCCACGTCTATAATCCTAGCTACTTGGGAGGCTAAGGTTGGAGGATTGCTTGAGCCTAGGAGTTTGAGACCAGCCAGGGAAACATAGCAAGACTTCACCTCAAAAAACAAAAAAAAAGGCCAGGCACGGTGGCTCATGCCTGTAATCTAGCACTTTGGGAGACTGAGGCAGGTGGATCACCTGAAGTCAGGAGTTCAAGGCTAGCCTGACCAACATGGAGAAACCCTGTCTCTACTAAAAATACAAAATTAGCCAGGCGTGGTGGCACATGCCTGTAATCCTAGCTACTCGGGAGACTAAGGCAGGAAAATCGCTTGAACTCAGGAAGGTGGAGGTTGTGGTGAGCCGAGATCATGCCATTGTACTCCAGCTTGGGCAACAAGAGTGAAACTCCATCTCAAAACCACACACACACATACACACACACAAAATAATAATATGGATCATGATGGTAGAGAGATTAGTAATAGACAAGTAATAGTCTTATCTGTACATTCAGCTCATCAAAAGCCTTGGAACTCAAATAAGCCTCCCAAAATCAACACAGACAAACATTGGGGACTATCTATTTTCTTTCTTTCTTTCTTTTTTTTTTTTTTTTTTTT